ATGACCCCCTCCACCTTCCCACAACTCTTAGCAGCAGAAGAGGAACAGATGCTCTGTGGGGTAGCTGCCCAGAGTGCACCACTCCGAATACCGCTGCAAGTGTGAACACGCTATTGCGCAGGGAGCTGACAGTGTGAACACACAGTGGTTTCCCTTCAGCGCTCTCTGAGTGGTGATATAACTCTGCCAGTGTAGACATACCCTTACTATCTGATTGCTTTCCTAGCCCACTGCAATTGGCTTAGTCTTATCTGGAATTGAGTATCGACCAGGTTGTGGCCATCCATGCCTCAGTTGCACTCAAACATTGAAAGACACTCAACCACATTCCGTTGGGCGGGGCGAGTCAGATACGAAGCTGTGAGTTAACAATGTACTTAAACCGTTGTAATCCAAGTATAAATCCTTACCAGGCTCTCCTCAACGGCACACATTGCATAAGAGGGGTGACAACAAAGAACCAGGAAGCAACTTGGGGAAGAATAGCAATTGCCCCAAGCAATCTTCTGGAGTATCTGTCAGACAGAAAAGAATAAAGTCAATTGTGGGGAGCCCTGTCCACTTCCACCAGGGACTGTAATGAGTCAACAGCACCTAATTACCCACAGTATCTAAGGCAGCTGATAGAGCTAATGATATGTGCACGGACACCAGGTATTATCCATTCCAGCAGTGAAATCCTCAACCAGCATAAAAATTGCAGTATCCGTGCCTGACTTGGGTCAGAGCCTTGATTGACAAAGTTAAATGAAACCAGCTCAATCTCAATGCTCTGAGAGTTTTCTTGCCACAACCTGTTCTATAACCTTAAACAAAAATGATCAATTAGATCCCGATTGGCTAGATTGCCAGTGTCGAAAGATGACCTTCCTTGAGCACAGGCCAAACACATGCTTCCTTTTAAATCAATTGACAGCCTGCCCTCCTCAAAGGAGGCACTGATAATTTCAACCAGCCGAAGACTCAATACTTGCCAACTGGCCCCCATCTGCATGGGAAGACTAGGATTCAAAGCCGAGACGGTGGCATGAAGTTCTCCCAAAATGTCCATAAGTGGCACTGGCTTAAATTCAAGCAGTGGAGATCTAGCTTTTGTCTCCTCCAAGCGTTAATACCACATCATGGACACAGACAGTTTAGTCTAAATTGGATTGATTTCAATCCACAAAGTTACCTTGCAATGGATGGACTTGCATCAGAAACTGTGGGAAGACTATCCAGATTAATTGGGCATTCCACCGCCTAAATAAAATTTGCTGATGGAGCCACCACAGTGCAATGCTACGATGGATACAGGATCCCTCCAGGATTGTTCTGGAATCTCCAGGAATTAAAGATTGTCATGTGATGAAACCTCCAGGAATATGTTCAGCCAAAATTGGCAACCTTGGTCACAATCCCCAGGCATACCCCACCCTGCAGCTCTCAGCTGTTTGCTGCTCCCTCTCCCCATAGCCGCAGCTTGCAAGCTCCAGGAGCTGCTGCACAGGGAGAGGGCCCGGGTGGGAAACCCTGACTGAAATCTGGTGGGGCTGTGTGACCCTCTAGGCCCCCCTCATGCATCATCTCTGCGTTTTCCCTCTCCCATGAGCAGTTGCAGGTAAATCATGGTGAACTGTGAGGAAGAAGCTGGGGAATAGGGTTGCCTGAAGGCTGCTGTTTTGACAACCAAGCAGAAAACATTATTATCTGGTCCTGGGAATAATACATTCTCCCCCAGAGCCCTCGAGTAGGATAATTTGAAATTGTAGAAATGGTTAAGCATGTCCATTATACCATTTGTAGAAGGTAAAGTGTGTGTGAGGGAGGAAATAAAGTACTTAACTTGTTTCTCATAGTGGGGAAGGACAATGAAGAGTAAACTTTGGGGGTGGTTTTTTTGATGTAGGTAGTTTTGTACATTCTTGTTCTAGAAGGTGCACTCAGAGACTCCTGGTAGCGCTCCTCTGAGGTGGTGGGCCTTACATAAAAACCTGAATAGACCCAATGAACTCCTTTCTGCAGAATGGACGCTGGCATAGGCTTCTGATCCTAAACCAGAAGATGCATAATGGGTATCTTCTGAGTCAGCACATTGTGCAAGTACAAGCCTCGAAAGATAATTTGCAACAGGAAGTGCTGAAGTTCAAGTGTCATAGTTTAGAGTTCCTGTTTGCGGTCTCGAAATTAGGGAGTTCTTTGTTTTGTGGTGGCAAACTGTCAGCCTGATGTCCTGAAATATGTATTTGAGTTTAAACTCTTCTTCTTTTAAGAAATCTAGATGTAAAAAAGACTGCCAAGGATTAAAAAAAATAAAATGTTCCATCAATGTTCTATTGGTTTCTATTCAAGTGGCTTTTGTTTCTGTTCTGAAACTAGTTGCTTTAGCTTGCTGTTGTCTCTAAAAACACATGAATAAAATATGTCCATATATTTTGTCTGTGTGCTATATATTACTTGCCACAAAAGGGGTGGAAATTGCCTAAATAACTTTTCTGGTAATATAAAACTTGTTAATGCATCACATTTGATTTGAAGAATTACACTGCACCAGGGTATTTCAGTTGGTTTGTAATAAAAGGAAGTGGTGAATGAGACTAGATTAAGCTATAATGATAATGCTGCAGAAGGATCTAAAGTTGTCTCTTGTAATTAATAAAGTTGTCTGCCTTTTCGGTGTATCATCTCATCTGATCAGCCCTGCCCCTGTTCCTTACCCTATTAGGACACAACAATTAAGACTTATCTTCTTCTCATGTATCCGCTACCTCCTCCCCTGCAAGATAAAATGCTTGTAGCTCTTTCAGTTTTCAAATAACGAATCCAAAGTGAAGTTTCTGTATTGCTAGAAGCTAGAGTAAATGGTAAACCCTGGCTTTCTGACTTGGATGGATTCACTGGAACATGAATGGAGCAATAGAAATGCTCACTTGTAGGTCATCTGTTTGGTAGCCCAGAAAGATAGACTGATGCCCCAAATGATGGATGCATTTGTGCTTTGCAGATATGGGGCCTACATTTTTTTTTCTCCCCCTCCACCCATCTCATAGCTTTTGAGTGGCATGTCTAAGATGAATTGTTCTCAATCCAGCTTCAGTTGGACAAGTTTCAACATCACAGCCCCCTACCCTTGCTGCATTAATTAGCACCATCGTTGGCAGTCTGATAATAGAGATCAAGTACTGAGTGCACATTGGCATTGACCTGCCTCCTCATAACTAGACCCAGCCTCTAAAGAACAACATTCTTTAGGTTTGTAGGGACGCTTGCGCTGCTGCTACTCATGCTACGTCTGTTCTGCGGCCAAATGGGAAGCTTCATTCTCCACGACTATTGCGCCTTCCCCTTTCAGCAGTGCTATAGTTGCACAATTAATGCTTGAAAAAAGGAATTTCATAACAATAAGCAAATACATTTTTGATGTTTCCATATAGCGTATATAAATGAATTTTACTATTTACGTAATGTGTTGTATTTTATATATTATTTTTTAAGTATTTTTTTTTTTTTTTTTTAGTAGCAATATTTTTCAACACAAGTTACTTGACTTCTCTGAATTATTTGCTACTACAGCCTGTGTGAGAGTCTTAGGGCTTGTCTACACTTACCGGGGGATCGATGCGCCGTGATCAATACATCGGCAGTCGATTTAGCGGGTCTAGTGAAGACCCACTAAATCAACGGCAGATCGCTCTCCCGTCAACTCCTGTACTCCACCTGAACGAAAAGTGCAAGGGGAGTCGGGAGATGCTCTTCCATCGACATAGCGTAGTGTGGACCATGCAGCAAGTAGATATAAGTACACCAACTTCAGCTATGTTATTCACATAGCTGAAGTTGCGTAATTTAGATCAATCGCCCTCCCCTCCCCCAGTAGTATAGAGAAGGCCCAGGGGCGGCAGGTTTGTATAATTTTTGGTGGTGCCCAGAATGGGTCCAAGTCCTGCCCCTGTCCCCACACCTGCCTAAGGCTCTGGGAGGGAGTTTGGGTGCGGGAGGGGTGCGGGTTCTGGGAGGGATTTTCGGTGTGGGAGGGGATGCAGGCTCTGGGACGAAGTTTGGGTGCAGGAGGGGGTTTGGGGTGCAGGCTCTGGGAGGGAGTTCGGTTGTGGAGTACGGGCCCTGGGCCGGTGTAGGAGTCGATGCGGGCTCTGGGAGGGAGTTTGGGCTGGGGCAGGCTCTGGGCTGGGACAGGAGTTTGGGGTACGGGAGAGGGTGAAGGGTGTGGTGCTTATCTCGGGTGGCTTCTGAAAGCGACCTGCACACCCCTCTGGCAGCGGCTCCTAGGTGGGGAGGCAGGGGGTCTCTGCACACCGCTGCCCGCTGGCACCATCCCCGCAGCTCCCATTGGCCGCAGTTCCTGGCCAATGGGAGCTGTGGAGTCAGCTCTCGGGGTGGGGGCAGCGTGCGGAGACAGCCCCCAGGGCTGCAGAGATGTGCTGGCCACTTCCAGGAGTGGTGTGGAGCAAGGGCAGGCAGGAAGCCACCTTAGCCCCACTGTGCTGTCGGTGGTGGTGGCTGGGGGTCCCCAGGCCCTTTTAAATCATCCGGGGGCGGCAGGTGGGGCCGGGAGATGCTCCAGGGGAGGCGCACAGGAGCAGCAGGTGAGGCCGGGGGAGAGACCCAGCCCAGAACATTGGTAGAGCCGGGCCCCGAGGCCCTGAATATTCCTGGAGCACGGGCACCACAGGCCTATATAACTTGCCGCCCCTGAGAAGGCCTTAGAGGTTTAGTGATGCTAACATATAGGGCAGCATTCTTCTCCAAGGCCATGGTAGAGCTCTATTCTTGTCTGATGTGCTTTCTGAATGTGAGGAACACCATAATGTAACAATTTTGAAGTAGCAAATCCTCTTTCAGGCTTGAGGAGATATCACCCACAAAGTAAAATTGCAAAATATTCCTTTTTGTTTTGCTCGTGAAAAGGGCTTGATATAATGAGGGACCTTTCCTTGTGGTCTTGGTTTGATTGCTTGTGAAGGGCAAAGAGTATAATGAAGACGTGTTATTTTTATTTGCAGGTTATCTTAAATGTGACACCGATGACGGCTGTGAGAACAAAGAAGAAGTAGGAGGAGAAGAGCTCTTTGACACTGTAAATTCCTCAATTGTTTCCGGGGACAGCATCAGATTCTTTGTGAATGTCAATTTGGAAGTACAACAGAATGTAACTGGTAAGTGCATTGTGTTCTCTACAATCCTTATTGAAATGTGAGGAGGTCAAACTATGCCTGCCTTGATCTCCCTATTTTTCTACTGAAGACTTCCCCTGATATGTATTTGCCCAACAAAAGCTGTGGTATCCAAGGGAGATTTTCAAAGTCACAGACATCAATTAGCCATCTAACTACTATTGACTTTCAATGACAGATACCCAAATACCATTTGAGGCTCTGAAAAGCTGACCCCAAGTGCATGCCTAGAAGCACCCATTGACTTCAGTGAGAGCTGCTGCGTGCTCAGCATTTTTGAAAATCGAGATATTTTTATGTATTTTATGTACATAACTACACCTACATTTTATATAGGTGTAGTTCTAGGGGGTGGTGAAATGAGGTTGAAGTGGGTTTTCTCTTGAGCTCTGAAAGTACTGAGGTGGACTATCATAATGACCTCTTCTAGAAGTGAGTTCCATAGCTGTGGGCTGGATGCCAGAAAAAGCTCTGTCTTGCATTTTTCAGTGGAATCTGAATAAAATAGGTTGTTTTCCAGTAACAAAACTTTTCTCTTTCACATCAACATTTGTAAGGCTTGGTCTATACTACAGAGTTAGGACAACGTAAGGCAGGCGACCTAATTATTAGGACTGTCAAGAGATTTAAAAAAATTAATTGCGTGATTAATTGCACTGTTAAACAGTAATAGAATACCATTTATTTAAATATTTGTTCATGTTTTCTACATTTTCAAATATAGTGATTTCCATTACATACACACAATACAAAGTATACAGTGCTTACTTTATATTATTTTTATTACAAATATTTGCACTGTGAAAAAGAAACAAAATAAATCGTATTTTTCAATTCTCCTAATACAAGTACTGTAGTGCAATCTTTATCATGAAAGTTGAACTTACAAATGTAGAATTTATGTACAAAAAATAACTTTTATTTTTGAATGCAATGTAAAGCTTCAGAGCCTATAAGTCCGCTCCGTCCTACTTCTTGTTCAGCCAGTTGCTCAGACAAGTTTGTTTACATTTGCAGGAGATAATGCTGCCCACTTCTTGTTCACAATGTCACCTGAAAGTGAGAACAGGTGTTCACATGGCACTGTTATAGCCGGCGTTGCAAGATATTTACGAGCCAGATGCGCTAAACATTCATATGCCCCTTCATGCGTCAATCACCTTTCCAGAGGTCATGAGTCCAAGTTGATAATGGGTTCTGCTCGATGACAATCCAAAGCAGTGCAGACTGATGCATGTTCATTTTCATTATCTGAGTCAGATGCCACCAGCAGAAGTTTGATTTTCTTTTTTGGTGGTTCAGGTTCTGTAGTTTCTGCATCGGAGTGTTGCTCTTTTAAGACTTTTGAAAGTATGCTCAACACCTTGTCTCTCTCAGATTTTAGAAGACATTTAAGATTCTTAAACCTTGGGTCGAATGCTGTAGCTATCCTTAGAAATCTCACATTGGTACCTTCTTTGCATTTTGTCAAATCTGCAGTGAAAGTGTTCTTAAAATGAACATCAAGTGCTGGGTCATCATCCAAGACTGCTATAACATGAACTATCTGGCAGAATGCGGGTAAAACACAAAGCACGAGACATACAATTCTCCCCCAAGAAGTTCAGTCACAAATTTAATTAACACATTATTTTTTTTAACGAGCATCATCAGCATGGAAGCATGTCCTCTGGCCGAAGTATGAAGGAACGTACGAATGTTCTGCATATCTGGAACGTAAATACCTTGCAATGCCAGCTACAAAAATCCCATGCGAATGCCTGTTCTTACTTTCTGGTGACATTGTAAATAAGAAGCGAGCAGCATTCTCTCTCGTAAATGCAAACAAACTTGCTTCTCTTAGTGACTGGCTGACCAAGAAGTAGGACTGAGTGGACTTGTAGGCTCTAAAGTTTTACATTGTTTTGTTTTTGAGTGCAATTACATAACAAAAAAAATCTGCATTTGTAAATTGCACTTTCACAACAAAGAGATTGCACTACAGTACCTGACTGAGGTGAATTGAAAAATGCTATTTCTTTTGTTTGCCATTTTTACAGTGCAAATATTTGTAATAAAAAATAATATAAAGTGAGCACTGTCAACTTTGTATGCTGTGTTGTAATTGAAATCTATAGGTTTGAACATGTAGAAAAAAAATCCAAAAATAGTTAAGATTTCAATTGGTATTTTATTGTTTAACGGTGCGATTAAAACTGTGATTAATTTTTTTTAGTTAATCGTGTGAGTTAACTGCAATTAATTGACAGCTCACTAATTCTATTCGTGTACACACTGTAGCTGTGCTCACACTGATGTTAGTGCCCCCTTACACCGACACAGTGATTCCATCTCCTCCAGAGGCCTGGGGCGTATGTCCATGTAGTTAGGGCTATGCAGTGTCCGTGTAGACACTGTGGGTGTAACAGTAGTGAATTAGCGGGACTGCGTTTCCTGATTTGAACGTCACTCTTGTGTTCTGTTGTCTTGTTTCTAATTTGTATTTTTATTGTAATCTATAAAAGGAGAGAGGGAGAAACATGCATAAAATGACTGCATCCAATACAAATGAATGTGTGATAAAACAGGACACAGGATTTACGTGTATTCACATGGTCCCAGGTCAGGTCTTCATTTGATAAATCTGTGTCGCGTTTCTGTGCAACTGTAACTTCAAATACCTTTGTCATGGCAGCAAATGTAACTGGCACGCCATACATAGTTCTGGGCAAATAACTGATTTGTTTTGTAAAAAGCAATAGAGAGTCCTGTGGCACCTTAAAGACTAACAGATGTATTGGAGCATGCGTCTGACGAAGTGGGTATTCACTTATTCATATTTTACAGATCCAGACTAACACGGCTACCCCTCTGATACTTGATTTGTTTTGGTTTGGTTTGCTGGCAGTTCCAAAAAATAAAGAGGAAAAGAAAAAAATCCATAAACCCAGTAATCGTGAAAAAAATTGATCAAATTGAAAAAATTCATTCTAGAACCTCAGTCTTGCCCTGGCCCAATGACTATTCAGGGTCATTGATTGACTAGAAATTGCCACTATGAATGACCATGAATAGCCATTGAGCCAACAAAAGAAGTGAGAATGACTCTTGCCTGGTAGTTAGGGACTCATGCAGGATGTGGGAGGCCAAGTTCAAATCCCTGCTCCAATGACTATTTATACCAAGTGGAACAACTTCAACCAGGGAGATTGAAAGCCCCTTACCAGAATATCCCAGAGCCTAGAGGAAAGGGCATTCTCCTGTAGTGTTAGAGACCTGTGTCCAAATCCCTTCTCCAGATCAAGTCAATTGGTGGAATTGAACCTGGTCTCCCACATCCCGGGAGACTGTCTTAACCACCAGGCTAAACTTACAAGGAGGGCGCTTTTACCTCTCCTGTTGTAAATGGGATCTAAGTCCTGAAAAATATTTTTGGCCAAAATTCTTTGAATTCATCTCAATTTTGCAAATAGCTTTGGGTTGATTGAGACAGCATTTTTTCAGCAAATAAACTAATTTGTCCAAAAAAATTCACCCAGCTCTAATCATAAACACTGAAGCTTCAGTAAGCAAATCATAGTAATCCTGGATAATTCATTGTGTACCTCCAAGAAGGTTGGTCAGATGATTCTGCTTCCTTTGATTAGCTATTCTATTTCTAGGCTTGCCAGCACAAATGATCCTGGTTCACACAGGTTGTCTATAATCCACACCACGTATGTTGTTGGGAGGGCCAAATGACTAATTAATTCATAGGTTCCAAGTCCAGAAGAGACCACTGTGATCATCTAGTCTGATATCTTGTATAACACATCCCAGGGAACTCCCACAAAATAATTCCTACAATATAGCTTTTAGAAAATAACATTCAATCCCGATTTTAAAATTCAGTGATGTAGAATCCACTACAACCCTTTGTAAATTGTTCCAATTGTTAATTATTATCACTGGTGGGTTTTTTGTTTTTTGTTTTTTTTAAAGGAAAAGATGCCTTATTTCCAGTCTGAATTTGTCTAGCAGGAGAATCTTAAATAGGAATAGAGAGGTAATTTTTACTTCTATATTTGGCATTAGTATGACTACTGCTGGGATACTGTGTCCAATTCTGGTGTCCACAGTTCAAGAAGGATGTTGATAAATTGAAGCAGGTTCAGAGAAAAACCCTGTGAATGGTTAAAGGATTAGAAAACATGCCTTCTAATGATCGACTCAAGGAGCTCAATCTGTTTAACGAAGAGAAGGTTAAGGGGTGCTGTAAGTACAGTTTATAGGTACCTAAGTGGGGAATAAATATTTAATAGTAGGGTCTTCAATCTACCAGAGAAAGGTATAACCTACTTCAATGTCTGGAAGTTGGAGCTAGACAAATTCTGACTGGAAACAAGGTGCAAATTTTTAACAGGGAGGGTAATTAACCATTGGACATCTTACTAAGGGTCATGGTGGATTCTCAGTCATTGACAATTTTTCAATAAATGTTGGATGTTCGTCTAAAAGATCTGCTCTAGGATTTATTTTGGGGAAGTTCTGTGGGCTGTGTTATGCAGGAAATCAGACTAGATGATCACAATGGTCCCATTTGGCCTTGGAAGCTATGAATCTAGGTTACATGTACAGACTTCAGATCATACTTTTATGTGAAAGTTCCAGCTGTGTTTTGAAGTTAAGATTCATAAGAATGATTAAGGCTCTAATATTACTAAAAGCATAGAAGACCTCTACACCTGGATTTTGCTCACTGTTTTATTTACCTATTTTGTCAAAGTTTAATAAAGCCTCTTGGTAACTTACTCAGTGACTAACTTTCTTGTGGGTCGGGCTATTTTGTCATACAACCTCTGTTGCAGTCAGTGGCAGTGGCTGTGCTAACAGCAGCTTGACTCAAGAGAAATTAATTTGGGGAAGTTCTATGGCCTGTGTTCTGCAGGAAGTCAGACTAGGCGATCACAGTGGTCCCTTCTGGTGTCGGAATATAAATCCCTGAAAGGGAGCTGCTTGCAAGA